TGTGTGTGTGTATGTGGGTGGTGGTACATCAGGTCCCAGCCTCGTGCTTGAGACAGGTTGGGAACAGCAGAGCTGACAGATGCTGGGGTCAGCTCCTGGACAGGTATTATGAGAGGATGGGCCATACTCCCGCCATAGGCCAGCTGGGGCCCCTTCCTGGGTGCACTCGGGCAAGGTAGATATGGAGAACTGGTGGAGGGGGGCTTGGCCTTCAGGCAGTCCTTCTGGGCATGATGGCCCAGGAAAAGCGGGCAGGGGTAGAGGGTCCTACCACTCTGGGCCTCTTCCTGCCCAGCCATGTGGCCCAGGAAAAGCGGGCAGGGGTAGAGGGTCCTACCACTCTGGGCCTCTTCCTGCCCACCCAGGGTCCCACTGGAATGCTGGAGTGGAGGCAGGTATGAGCCAAGGTGCACCAGAGTTGGAAGTGAGTGATTTGGAAGTGAGTATGACCAAAGGGTCCCTTGAGCCTGGAGCTGCTGGGTAGGCCCATCTTTTAGGCAGAGGGCTCCTTCTCTGGTGTCCCTCTTCTCCTGGGGCAAATGAGAGGCCACACCAAAGCCTCAGCCCCATGACCCTTCCACTTTCTCTTCAAGTTCTGGGCATTTTCAGCTTGGAGCCTTGTCCTCTTCCTGTTATCTATGTGTCTTGCTTGGGGGGAAGTAAGTCACCCTTTAAGTTAAAGAGGGGCTCAGGAGATGCTAATTCCTCAGGATCTCAGCCACAGCAAATGCGATGATGATCTGCAAATGTGACCTGCCCACAAAAAAACCTCAGAAGTAGCTTGTTTCTGTTTTTAAAAAGACACCAAAATTTACTTTGATATGTTTATATTATAGATATAATACATAAAACATCTAGCATGAAACTCTTATGTTCTCCCCAAAAGAAGAGAACCAAGCAGTCCTTCCCTGCTCCCAACCCCAGAGATATGTACGTGTTGGTTGGAGGTGGCCTTCCCTCCAGACCACCAGCCAGGGCCTCGGAGGGGATAAGCCCACCGGCAGCCCCATCCAGAGGGAGCTGAGGCCCACAACTAGGGCGAGGGAAAGCCAAGGGGAAAAGGGAGGCCCACCTCACCTCCGTGGTCCCCCCGGGAGCAAAAGCAACCCCAAAGCCAAAAGGAAAGAGAGCCTCAGACCCTTCCCCCAGCTGCTGACAAAGAGTCTCATTTTGGCAAGTATCTGAGCAAAACCAAAACAAAACAAAAACCAAATAAAATGGTGGTTTAACATAGACGAGCACATTCACATTGCACAAGGCACCGCTGGGACACAGAGGCCAGATACAAAAGTTGATATCGGCTGATAAAGCAAAATATTTGGGAGGCTTGTCATAACTCCGGTCCCTCTGGGATGGACTGATTGTGCTTCATGTTCTTATGGCAATGCTGGCGACATACAGTACAGACAAGGCCGATGGTCCCAGTGTCCCTTCACCCCCCACCCCAAGACCAAATCTCTAGGTTCCCCTCTTCCACCAGGCCACCGGTCCCTTGAACACATGTCCTTTATAGCTAACCCACTACTTAGCTTTATGGTCTGAATGGGGGTAGGGGACTCTTACTAGTCACCTGGTGAACCCCATCTCAGTGAGTGCTAACTCAGGAAGCCCGGCCTGTCATAGGCCTGCTGGGGTGGAGGTGGAAGAGGCAAGGAATTAGGGACCCTCTACCTCATTGTAGAAGGAGGGGAACAACCCGGGGTTCAAAGCCCCAACTTCTTAAGTTCCTCCCCTCTAAGGACAGGCACAGAGGAGAGGCTGGGGCTGGCTTGTCTGCATCTCAGCTTCCTGAACCTTCCTCCTGCCGTGGCCTGCACCCTTCCTTCTCTCGTGGGAGCCTGCTGCAGCCTCCGAAGAGGCAGGAACCCTTCAAATAAAATGTCAAGGCACATATTCGCTCCCCCTACTCGGTAGGAATCGGAGCTAGCTTGCATTTCCAAGGCACAATGTTATTCCTTAATACTAGAGTTGCTGGGCTCCCCGGTCAGCCCCACGGAGAATTCTCCCCCGTCTCAGGGAAAAGCCACTGCCTGACTCCCTCATCTTAGACGCACCGAGTCCGGCTCTGAGGAAGGGAGGGGACACGCGGAACAGGCCAGGCTTTCAGTCGGCACCGGAATCTCCTAGTCCTGGCTTGCACGGCCCCGGGAAGCCTTGAGATCCGGCGATCCGAAACCACTCCTCAGGTCCCCGCCAGGGGCCGGCCCAGGGCGGTCCCGCAGCCGCGCGCCTCACGCGCAGTTGCCCATGGCCTTGACCAAAGAGCTCTCTGGCAGCTGGCGGAAGATGCCCCGCAGCGTGTCCAGTTCGCGGCTCAGCTGTTCCACCCGCTTGCGCAGGCGGTCATTGTCACTGGTCAGCTCCAGCACTTTCTGCTGCGTCTCCACGTTGCGCTGCTTAGCCTTGTCGCGGCTCTTGCGCACCGCGATGTTGTTGCGCTC